GCATCGCGCGCGAGGAGATCGAGCGGGTTGGATTCCGGCGAGGGCTCGCGGAGATATTGTTGGGTTTGCCCGGCGCCTGCTGGGGCCTTTTGTCGTTGTCGTTGTGCTTGTGCTTGTGCTTGTTTGCGATTCGCCCCCGCGCCAGGCGTATGATGGGACGACGCATGCATGTTGCCCTGCTCGTCGACTTCGATTTCGCTGGCGGAGTCGGAGTCGGTCGTTGCGAAGTCCGAGTCCGACATGTCGGAGCCGTAGACTGCTTTATCGAATTCGTTGCTGAAGGATTTGTCGCCCCGTTGGGAGCTTCCTGCTCCTGCCTTGCGTGATCGGGCAGCATGCTCGTCGCCATCTCCGTCTTCATTCTTGCCCTCTTCGCCTTCTCGAGCTTGGTTCTTCTTGCGCTTGCGCCGCTCGCGCTCCTTGCGGATCGCCACGATGAATTTTCGATCCGCCTCCCCAACTACTCCTTCAAGCAGAGGCGCGCCAAAGCGCCGGATCAACCGCTCGAGAATTCCTTTTACTTTGCTCTTCAGACGGCCCTTGTGCTCCTTGCTCCACACCAGGAGGTTGGGGACGAGGGAATCGAGACGTGGACGCAGCATGTCCTCGGGCAACGCGACGACGGCAACTTTCACAAAACCGAGCACGCTGCGGACGATTTCGCGGTTGTTGCTTGTCAGGAAGAGATCGATCGTTTGTACCAGATCGGAGAGCATTGAGGGGGGGAGTTTGTTGTGGAATTCGAAGAGGAGGCGGGATAGGGCTGTCACGGACGCGGCGACCATGTGCGGGGAGCTGCCTGCTAAGCCGGCGGAGACCATGGTGAAGAACTCTTCGATTGTGGCGGGGGCGTCTGGGGCGGTATCTGGCATGTGTGGAACGAGCGAGTTGCGGATTACCGTGCCGGCGGGGTTGAGCTCGGGGTCAATGGTGCGTTGGGCGAGGTGGATGAGTAATGTGAATGCGGCTGTGCGGGCCTTTTCGTTACTCTCCTTGCATCCGAGGACTACTTCGGGGAGCACTGACGGGATGAAATGGAGGTCTGAGGTTGGGAGGTAGGTGACTATTTCGTGGATGGCTAGGAGCCTGTCACGGCGGGCTGGAGGCGGGGTCTGATCGGCTGTTGAAAGGATGAGGGATTGCAGTTCGGAGCTCCGTTCGCGAAGAGCGGTAGCGCCAGTTTCCGTTGAAGCTAGACGCGGAAGAAGCTTGTATGCTTTCTTGATTAACTGGAGGTCGGAGGCCTTTTTGTTAAGAACCGCCGCTGCAAGTGAAAATAAAGTTACAAAATTTGACCGCGGTAGATATATCGACATCGTCACGAGGAGATCCATTAGCGTGTGTGAGGTTGGGGGCATTTTGTCGCCAGGGACTTTTGATTGCTTTTGCTCAGGTGTTTCTGTCTCCGCAAGAGAGGCCTCCAGCAGCGTTGTGACCCGTGTGAATGTTTCGATTAGTTCCTACATCGGTCATTAGTAACGGATAGATTGATTAATAGAAGGAAAATACATACCTTTTCATCTGTAATGCTTAGATACGCATTGATACATTGCAGCAGAAAACCCCTAAACTGGGGCAAGGTCTGGCTGTAGACATTAAACAGCACAGCAAGGAGATTGCTTGCAAACCCAGAAAGATGTGCGAGATTTCTCTTCGCTTCTTCCTTCGAGATTCGCCGCTGAAGTATTAGATCGTCCGTTTCAGTATCCAAAGATGTAATCGCTTGGTTCGACTCTACAAGATTCTGCAGCGCTCTACCCACATCCACCCGCAGCTCAGTCTGTTTGTAGAGCACATTTGCAAGCAGCTCTGCAAAGCTTTGATCAAAGGATTCTGTCAGATCCAGTGGGAGCTCACAGAAACCCGGTAGAATGGCCCAGGTTTGCTGAATGAGGGTCTCAAAAATTTTTACCTCGACTGTCTTCTCAGCGTTTCCGTATTCCAGGACGCGCTGGAATAGCGCTTCGCTGAGTGGAACGAATTCGGATCTGAAATATGCCAGACGTGTGTTTGATACGTGGTCTCTGAGGATAGGAAGAAGCCAGACTCGGCCCGCTTGGCCCGCTTTTTGGTTTGTGATATTCAGCGGTAGTATATTCAGTACTGCTTCGGGACCCATGGCGGCAATTGCAGCTCCTAGCACTTGATCGGCTTGTTTTTTGCCAGCAAATGATTCATAACCTCGTAGCTCCCCAACTGTCCTCACGATGTCTGTTAGAACCGGGAATGATCTCCATTTCAGAGCGTCAAACATCACGGAGAGTACGTTTAGTACCTCCATCCATGCAGCCTGGTACTTGACAGAGAGCAGTCCAGTAGCTATTTTAGCAAGTTTCTCAAACACCTTTTCGTCATATATGGATGGCTCGAGTATAACCGAGTCTGGAATACAGTTGACAAGAAAAGAGATAAGACACTCCGAGGCTGATATTCTGATATTTCGCGAAGACGAAGCTAGGAATGACGAGATAAGTTCAAAAAGTTCCGGTAATTTTTCAAAAGTTTCTTTCGGGTTTACCTGCGCAGATACATCGTATCCCCTAGATACAACCGCAATCCAGGGCGGCAGTAATTGCGAATCATTCTGAGCAGGTTTCAACTCTGAAATTGCCTCCATCAGCCGGGGAAGTTTCGACGAGGAAAACTCATCCGCCATGCCCTGGAAGATTATCTCGAAAACCTCAAATGCGGCCATGGTCAGGTACTCGTTAGACGACCTGGATACATTCATCAGAAGCTCGCATAATGGCTCGATCTTCTTTGTTGGCCAGCCACCCGAGGCCATGGCAATAGTCTTCACCAATTGTACAGCATGGATGACCATCGGCTCGTGTTGGCTGCCCTGATGCTGTCCATGGCGGCCCTTCTTGGCCTTTGCGGCTGCCGCAATACTCTCGCTCAGCGTCTGTAGGGAAGTTTCCGCACACATATCTGCCGCCGGGTGGTCCAGTGCCGGGGAGGGTGGGGGGTTTTTCAACACATGCATTAGCGAATCATGTACCCGCTTACGCACTTTTGGTCTGTGGTCCACGGCCAGTGCCATCAGGCCGGCCATAGCTCTGCGGGGTCCTATCTGAGACTGTGGTAGAGCCCATGCCGCCGCGTCTTGAGCTACCAATAGCGACTGAAGACATCCCACGGATGGCTTGAGGAGCGGGGCTTCTGCTTCGGGAAGGGTGAGGGCAGGTGCAAGGCCGGTGAGAATCTGGGAGAATTTGGAGGTGAGGAGTGGAGTGGGGACGAAGGGGGAAACGATATCGAGGAGGTAAACAATGGAGGCTGCAAGGTCCTTGTTCACAATGCCTTGGTTGGCATTGATGGCCTGGCCTAGGAGGGCGAGGAGGGCGGCGAAGTATGCGGTTGGTGTGAATTCGGCATGCTGGTCGCGGAGTGTATCTTCCACTGCGGAGAGGACCACTGATGTCTGTAATGTTTCCAAATTAGCATTGGCTAATCTATATATATGTCGAACGGTAAGTGACAACTATTTTGTCTCTTTTCGCATTTTTCTTTCCCGCATGATTGAGCAGCGGTTGTGTGGTGAAGGTTTCTTTACATGGTGCTGATTGTGAAGCTTGGGAGACTTAATTTTCTCCAGCTTTTCCTGCAACGAAGTCATATTGCAAGTGTACCCCAAGCTGAGGGGGGATCGCTGTTGCAAAAGCGTGCTGTCGACAGCTGGGTGGTGGTTGGTTAAGCAGTGTCTGGCATTCGACGGTTGTAAAGATCATTTGAGTTTTTCTTCGGCGATTTCTATCGATAGCAGATTTTGTGGGGGCGGCAGAAGACACGCAGCAACAGACGCACAGATATGGACGATCAGATATTTATATGAACGGCAACAGGATATTCGAGGATATTTCTGTATTGCATTTAAAGAGACTCCCGGATGAGATTTATGATATTTTCAGTTTTGATTTGAAGTTTGCCACAGTAGTATAATATATAACGTACGGCAGTCATGTTTTAAAACCTGGTCGCAGTAAATAAAGAACTTGAGGGAAGAGAGATAGTTGACAAAGCCAGCTCCTATTTATTCTCTATCTACATCAAAGGTAATCTCAAGGTTGATTTCATCAGCCATCTGCACATTTGCCTCTCTGTTTGTTCTTTTCCGTGCGCAGGGTTGGAAGCATTTCACAATATGCTGCATCCCTTGCTTAACTCTACATTCACCGGATCATTCATTACTCGCCATCCCCCTGGATTTAGTTCATATCCCATCATGACGATTCGTACTGTAACACTCATTCTCAATCTGTTGCGGGTATGCGGTATCGTGAGACACATAGAGCCCACGAAGAGACCCTGAAAGTAATAACATCAAGGCCTTAAAACAAAAAACAAACAACTTCATCGGAGAGTTGAAACGCATATTCCCGGGTCTTCGAGTGAGTAATAGAGGCTCTCTGGTTCGGCACTGACATATGACATGCCACGAAAGACGACTCCTTTCCACTGGATATCTCTTTCCTTCAGGCGACGTGGGGGTGAATAGCATCGACCATGAGATGACAGTCCGTGCCGTAAAAAAGGAAAGTAATTAAAAGTACAGAGTATTGGCTTGAGCATTTAAAACAAAACTTCCCCGCTATGCTCAGCCTCAAAGCCGAGTGCCTGTAATTTGTTGCTACGACGCCTATCGCCTTTCTTTCGCTGCTCATCTTCTCGTTTTTTCAGTGCAAAGACTTCGTCGTATGACGCCTGGCGGTAGCCTGCGGGTATATCGTCTTCTTTATCAAGATCCTGCAGTGCGGAATTGGCATGGTTAATTGCAGATCGATCGAAAAGTAGATACATTCACGCTGGAAGAGGGGGGGAAAGAGGAGAAAACAACATACAATTTCTCCTAGTAGGAGCACATTCTCTCCGCGAACCAGGTAGATTCCCCGCTGAACGTCAGCGAAAAGGTGCCCGGCGTATATTCGCTCAACGGTTCCTTGGAGGACAAGATTTGCTGGAATAGAGGAATGAATGGTCAGTGATGTATTCACAATGCGTCCAACATCATAAAGAGGTCTGCTCCAGTCGCGTGAATTTCCAGTGACAGAAAAGAGACTATTTGCTTACCAAATTGGTCCCAACTGCGTAGCACACCGATTAATTTGCGCCCATCACGGAGCACCAGGACAAGTTTCTCTGCGAAAACCGCATTCCGCAAACGTGGCGAGGAGAGTTAGTCTGTGATCAAATTGCATTGCATATACACCAGGCCCCATTCGCTTATCTCCAATAGCACGCCTTCAAGTAGGGAAGTTAAGCGTTTTCAATGAGACTTCCGCATTGTATATAGAGTCCAGAGAAAGGGAATATCTCACTATCAGTCAAATCTAAAAGTTGCGCCGCGGTTGTGAACATCTGAGGAGGTAGCTGGGGCGGACCCGGTACCATCATTGGCACTGGAGAAGGAGCTTGACCCGGCGCAGGCACAGAGGAAGGAGGCCCAGGAGGAGCTTGCTGCTGGTGTTGGAAGCCAGGGTGAGGGGGGTTGGGGTGGGAAGGGGGGGGATACGCCTGGTGGCCATGTGGGAGCGAAGGCGGGAGCCCACCACCGTGTCGCCCGGCAGGGCCATTATTGTGGTCGTGGAGGGAGAGGTTTTCCATGTCGTCTGGGGACTTTTCTTGAAGTTGAGGAGCACGGCACGGACGGGAATTGAGGAATGATAGGTGGGTGTATCAGCGCAAAGGACGAGTTGGAACGCTCATTCTGGTGAGTGGGGGCGAAGTGAAGCTGAGTGGGTTGGTAGCCAAGCTCAACGACCTGTTCTGAATTTTGATGGGGAAGTGTCTGTCCTCTCCTGCTAGCAGCAACCCCGCTCTCGTCTTGCTCTTGTCTCGTCGGGGGTTGTCCGTATACAGAGTTCCAAGATTCTCTAATGGAATTTTTTTATTTCAAGGTTCGACGTTGAAGTCTTGAAGATGGCGACTGTGTTTGCTTTGTTTGCTTTGTTTGCTCTGTTTGCGCTGTCTTTGTTAACTTTTCAATGAGAAATAAGCAGCATCAAGACATGCATATGCAGTGCTCAATATAATACAGCTTTCCAGCTGTGTCTAAACATGATGGAGGACAGAGAACAGATAATCAAAATAATGGAAAGTGAAATTTGGTGCTTCGTTTAAATATCACAGGTGAGTCAACTTAGGAATTGTAACATGCAGCCAGCTTCTCAGAAACTTCTCAGGGGTGACCTTGTCAGTCTATTTAGTCAAAACAATTCGCTAAGCATCTTAGGAAACATGATTTTGACCATCATATTTTCCTGGAAGAGGGCTCTTATTCACATGTTCTACAATTGCTCCCCGATGGCTTCGCTGATGTAATAAAAGGTTTCGATCAGGTACCCATTCGCGGACCGAAATGAAGTCTTCCGCAGGCGCTCAAAGCATCTCCGTAACGGCGGCACTCGCAGATGCAATGAGTGTGTTTTCCCTTTCATCCGTGTGTTCAGAGATTGGATGGCATATACCAATGGCAGGACTCGAATAGAGATTGTCATTTTTCAGCAGACTTGTATTATTCACAAGTAACTTTTTTGTCTTGTGTTTTGGCTATTTATGGTACTAAATCCAATTTAATCTCACGAGACATCGACCTATATAGCAGTGAATATATACAATATGGGGATTAGTTATTGAGAAGAGATTGCAGGGGTAATTAAAATGAATTGTATGTAATTTGGGAATCTCAAAGGCTGGACTGGAACATGCATAGCTCATGTTTCAATTCACCATCACCACTATTAACCATATCATAAACTACCATCTGCCACCATTGTCCACTCTCAAAACAACACTTGCAGGACTGCCTCAGGCTTCCAAGACTGACAAAACAGTGACACGTGACGAGGTGATAAGGGGCTACTACCCTAAGCGCGGCTGGCAGCCTCCAGCCCATGCATGACCTCGCCACACAACAACGAACATACAAATCCAAGCAAAACATCAGAAAAGAGAAATTTGCGGTGACTCAAGTTTGCGATATACACGCGAGGCAAAGGGGAGAACAATGAACGTATTGAGAGGAACATTTTTGACACATGACAACTTATCGGAAAGACAAAAGAGACTTGTCAACATCGTTGATTATGTGGTTGGTAATACGAGAGAGAAATCTCAAATATTGAACAGAAAAGTTTTAGATTAGGAGAAAACGAATCGAGGAGCTTTAACATCCCATCCCATCCCAAGCCTGGGCACATTAACCCCGTGAATGGGGTCATATTTTCGCGGGACGGGAAGATTTAAACAACGATAACACGGGGAGGTCTCCTTCCTCTTATTCTTCGCTCTCGTCGAGGGTTCGCATAGATCAAATATGCGTCATCCGATGAGCCGATATTAGCTCTCACCGAATCCATTCTTGAGTCATAGCCTGGCCGTCCGGGAGCTGCCACGAGCTGCAGGAGGCATAGATCTTCCTTCTCAATGATGCCAGAGCAGTACATGTGCCGCATGGTAGCGAAGCTCGGGTTCGAGTTGTGGATCGGGTATCCATGCTTGAGATGTTCGCCGGCCAGGTGTGTGAGCATTGTTCGCCAGGCGACACTATGGCGTGGGTCTGAAGTCGAATATGAACAGGCTGGACATTGAGCTGTGGTGGGTGGTGAGGATGTTCGGAAGTGGCTCAGCACATGTATTTTCCACTCGCTATGATCAACGAAGGTTTTTTTGCAGTCGAGAATGTGGAAGAAGCAGTTGTGTTCTCTTCCTGTACTGGAGGCCCCAGTTGGGGCAGTGAGGTTTCCGTTTCTGTCATTATCGAGGATATGTTGAAGAGGCAGCCTGTCCCCAGCACTAGTACTAACGGATTCCGACAGGGAAATGGACACCGCTGAAGACGATGGTGGAGAAAGTGTTGGAACTACACTGGATGCAGGCATGCCGGACGACGACGATGCACAATTATCATCTACGCTATTTTGAACAATCAGTGACGACTGAGAAGCCCTAGGTCTCCTCCTGTCGATTCGGGACGAATTCTCGGGTGAAGTTATCGACTGCGAGGTTGGCGTGGAAGAACGTGCAAAAGGACATTCAGTAACACCGGCTGGTCGTTGATATTTCCAATGCTCTAGGGAAAAGGAAGCCACTATGACAGATCAGCGTTCATTTCGTATCTATATATTTCTCAAGCTGGGAAGACTTCACTTGTGAGAACCGATCTACCAAGTACGAAACATGCAACACGAGCAGCCAAAGGGTTGAAAGGAGAACAATGGAGAAGAAAGATTGCAAATTCCGCACTGATGAACTGGTGATACCGGATGTAAATGAATAAAATGGAAGTGAATGGATATAATTCTTGTTACAAAGTCTGGCTATGAAAAGTTCCCTTTGTGGAATTGTGGGATGAAGCAGTATATTTACCCCAGACTCTTTGTCACATCTGCAATTCCAGGGTGGGAAGACCCACGACTCTTGGAGAACAGGGAGATGCGATTCCCCATGTCCCCATCATTGTGCTATATTTAAAGAAAACGAGAATTACTTACGGGGAATTCGGGCTCTTTTATATGGGCATCACGAGAGCTCTGCACTATTATTATTGGGACAAGTGAAGGGTGGACACGTCGTGATAGCTCGCATCAGATATCTGCCGGGGGAAACAAGCCGGGGTTCAAGAAGTTGGCGTTCGATTTCAGATTGTCAATCGATGATGGTCCAGACGATTAGTCGTCAAATGGATATGCAGAAAGACCGAATGTCCAACCGGAAGGATGTAACGTATGGGGAAGAACCGCGAGTTTGTACCGCTTTAATTGGCTTAAGCTATTCCGCGAAAAACAGATAAAGACGAGACGGTTTGACGCGGAATGTTGGAGTCAACACAGGAATGAGACCATTCCGAGGGTAAGTCATAAAGAAAACTTTCAAGCCAGGAGGGAATGGAAGGGAAAGTCTTGGGACAGAAAGCATGATAACAGCCCAACAACAACATTTGGAGTGGGATCCAGTTACTTTGTTGGACTTATTTGCTTCGGCTATCTTATGATGATACGATAATCTAAACTCCGGCCAGGATCTCTTATGCAGTTTGCATATTAGCGCGGATTGCCGAATTACAGCGGGGCCGGGTAGAGTCCAATGGCAGCTCTCTCAATTTAATGATGGAGAGATACATGTAATGGACGTATTGATTTCGTACATTCAACCCCAGAAAATTGGTCACGATACCTTGCAGAATATTGATCTTGCGGCTCAATAAACGCCATATCCACTGTAGCCAAGAGGTTATTGCAACGGTGCGGGAGGATAAGTGAGCTGGTTACTGGAAATGTAACAATTAGATAAAAGCCATTAGTCGCAAGTTGCAACTGCAGTTACCTTGATTAGTGAGTTCCCTTTTTGCTGTCATGACACAAGCCATCGGCACCAGCAGAAACGACGTGGACGAGTATGCAGGTCATTTTATATCGAGAGGTATGTATTGCTTCATGAGCGCCCTCAACGCTGCCTATTAAGCAAATCACGGAAGTAGAAAGTATCTATCATCCATAAATAGCCAAATGAGAACATAAATGCTCTATATCGTTCGTCCAACTCGAGGTCCATCAGACGTATGCAACGTGGTTGATCCTGACCGGGTTTTGGCTGCGCCTAGGGAATGACCCGTGATTTGCGTTCGCGCTGGACTGCTACCAACTTTCTCTCTGGTCAGATTGTTCTCTTTGCTTGCTGTGATGAGCTAGGCCCATCACCCGCATGCAACTCTGTGCGTCTGTTATGCATGAAGTGCGTTGAGCTGGCACCGTATACAAGCCGACCTATAGCATGAGGTTTGAGGGATTGCATCAGATATATAAAGTTGCACGGATTTATTTCAGTGAAGACATTGACTGACTGCTCAGGCATTTATACATCTCATGAAGGTTGAAATGATGATATCCATTCCATTTGTGGACGGGTTGATTGAAGACGTTTTTCATTTACCTCGAGATGCGCCAAGGGGGTTAAATAACTAAAGATCGTTTAGTCAGCCTTTTTTTTTTTTTTTTTTTTTTTTTTTGGCTCACTTCCTTCATCCTGTATCCTAGGGCGGCATCCCTTCGTTTGTTCTCCTCGCTTAAGAGTGCCTTTACGTGGGGTATTTTGTCGACAGTAATTATCAGGTTCCAGCGGGTGTGTCCAGGGCCTGCTTTGCAATGGTTGTGTCCGTTCACATCATATGGTCGGAAATCGCAGCTCAACAACCGCCATCAACCGTTGAACCAGCACATGAAGGATGTAAAACCGATTATGAAGAGAAGTGGAAGTCCTACTAGCAAAACTCCAGTGAGGCATCGCCGCGGGATCGTGGATTATGAGTTGACAGCAATTGACGGTCCTTCAGGTGTGTAAAGCAGCCGGCCAGTGCGTCCTGACTCGGCAATACCCGTGGCACTGGCATGGACGGAAGAGCGTTTCCACTTGAGACAAAATCAGCAAAGAAGCGTGAGGTAGCTTCTTTCTATCATAGCTGGCGTTGATAGGGATTCTGAGTTTCAAAACGAACATCAGCTAGCTGGTTATTCCTGAAAAAGGTTGCGAAGAAAAGCTTGATGAATGCCAATCTGTTCTCTTCTCAGATAGCAACCGAGTGTTTTTTTCTTTAGAGGAATACTCCCCCTGGCGGAGAGACTGCATCTCAATGCTCTTTCAGAGCAGCAATAGTACTTCTTATCGATACTCGAGACTCAAATTTGTCGGAATGCGTTTTTGCTCCTCATTAGCTTGCTCCCCTGTGACTTAAGATCTCTCGAACTCTTTGACTGTGTTTTCCTACTATAGATTCCCGCATTTATTTTTATTTTCCCCAAATCATTTCTATGAAGCCTCCTGTTCATTTCTTCATGACCTCGTCATGATTTCTCACTTTCCTGACAGCCTTGGAGGGATGTCTGGATGCTCTTTCAACAATTATTTTTATTATTTATTATTATTATTATTATTTTAAGATGACCGCAACGGTCAGCATCCAATGTGCACAGTGAAGTGCATCTGAAGTCCTTGATTGGGCAATGTCATGTTTTGAGACAAGCATGGAGACATATCCCATTACGATCAGAGGTCTTTGGTTTCGAAGCAAGTTGAAGAGATGGAAGCTTTATTCGATATGACAGACAGCCATGACTGAGCTATATATATTTTTCCTCTTTACTCTCTCTTCTCTTCCATATATGTCCGCGTTTTGATCTATCACTGCAAAAGAGAGACATATATTAACCACCTTAAGATTCTTCGACCCGGGGATCTAATTCCAGGCGCAGGGGGGCAAGCCAGACCTTTTATCCTCTTCACGAAGCCCCGCATCCACACGAATCACGAAAACATTGTTCAGTGTTAGTCTATGCCTCGGCACCCAAAAGTTGGGGATGCTTGTTTCAATGTTCCTCAGGGAAGTGCGGATCATTTATCAAGGTTTCCATCTTGGAGAGTTTCGAAGAAGGGAAATGTTCGGGACTCTAGGTTATTGGAAATAGATGCGATATGTACGCCGATGGTTCTCAACGGAGGTTCAAGTGGAGTGGCCCCTATTTAGATTGGAGCGTGGTTGCCAAGGGGAAGTATATGCTGCCAATAGATTTGGGGGTGGTGCAATGATGGGATTTCGTGGTGGAAGAACCTAAATCCTTGATTTCTCAGGTTGCATCCATAAGGACATGTGCGATCTGAATGATTAATGCTTCGGGGTGTATTATCGCCAGGCAACTAATTTGAGCTATCACAAGTAAGGTGGAAAACTATAGTTACAATTTCTTTGTGCCCGAAATCCGGGCAATATTATCTATCCACTTCTATGTCTATTTATCTAGGTTATCCTGTTAAAAAAAATAAAAAAAATAAGGTCAATTGTCACATTATTCATCTCACGCATGCTTAACCACTTGATTCACCATATGTGCAAGTCCAGCTCCGCGCTACGAGGCTTTTGTAACAATTCCTCGTTGAATCTTCGGGGTTTGGGTGCGCTCCTTTGGCCACGCTGATTCCCCGGGAACAATTTCTAAAGAGCAGGTAAGCATATTACACGAAGATCGAAGAAGGTCAAATAGGCTGGGACCATACCATCAATCTTTCCATGAAATTACGGAACCTCAATTGATAGATCTTGGTCAGCCCTCTATATTTCCTCTTCCATCGCTTTTCGCGTTAAAAGTTTTTTTCATCTGCGGCGTGAGATTCACTTTAACTTGGCAGGATACATGTCGTTTTTTTGTTTTTTTTGTTTTTGTCGTGTCATCATCACCATCATCACGTAAATATAGCCGTAAAAACTAGGAATGAATTTTGGGGTGGACATAGGCCTAAGGTTCCTTTTCGGTGACTGTTGAACTCCGAGGGCTACGGAACCGTCAACTACATAATAGTAACGATTAGCAATGTAGTAGGTCAAACCCCCATTGCTATTCTGTCACATCGACATTCATGTTAACATGAGCTCCGCATATACTTATGAGCTGAAGTCGGTTCCAACGGTTATCGATAAATGTTTGTTATTAGAGGAACTCGGGAAGTCATTTTTGCGGCGGATCTTTGAGGCTCCGGTTCGCGCGCACAGATCGGGTTTAGCGTGCTTCGGGGATTTCAAGAGCTTCGAGGTTTGACGACAAACTGGACTGTTTTCTTCAGTTGCTTCACTGTTTAATATCGCGTTGCTGGGAATCCCTCAATCAAGCTGGGGGGTTCGTTCTGAGTATGGGTTGTGTGGAGGTTCTGAATGTTCAAATATGGCTGACAGTTGTTGAATTGTTGAGAAGCAATTAAAACTTCGCAATGGCTTGTAGCTTATACAGTGAACTTGCGCTCACTTCGTGTTGGTGAGGGCAGCGCTGCTTCTGGTGGCGTGGATATTGTCCCTGCTGATGGAGGTGAAGGGTCTGGATGGGGGGGGGTCTTGAGGAAAGTGGAGGCGTCTTCGTGATCAGAAGAAACGACGATGGCGGGTGGGCGGCTATCAGGTATTGAGCGGATGGAATGCACTGGCGAAGTTGGCGTGCTGTTTCGCGGAGTACCGTGATGGGTTTGAACTGGGACTTCGAGCGTGGCCCGTCTTGATGGATGTGTTTTGATAGCGGAGCTATTCGATAGCGGTGGAAGACTATGGTTCCCTGTTGAGGGTCGGTCGTTTGTTAACGAATTGGAGTGCGGTCTCCGAGAAGTGATGGTTGGCGAGGAGGGTGATGGAGATCGTGACGGTGGTCTCAAATCCCTCAAGATACTGTCCACATTGAGTCCGGACATGTTACTTGCGAAACTAGCTGCTCTTGAAGAACGCCCCCGCAGTGAGGGAGTGACATTTCCATCAGCGTCCCGAACTGCGTTGTACTGATTTCTGATGTGGGGTAGATCACGGTTTCGTCGGATCTCCCCTGGGATCTCAGGGAAATCGAGGGCCTTTCCACTCTTAAACTCTGAGTTGTTAAGCCGCTCGTGCGCCGCGTCGCTGAGGTAGATACCAAACTTAGTTAACGCTCTGGCTACCTTGCGTCTGTTTGCCGAATCCGGAATTGTGGATTGTCTGGGTTGGCCATCCTGTTCAGTAGCAGAGCGTGTGTTTGAAACACTGCGGCGCAGCTCCACATTACCTGGAGGATAGTGAGAGGATGCTGCGGATACGACAGTGCCGATTTCTTGCATTATTGAATTATTATCTTGGTTCGAGGAAGTCGTTGGCTTCTCTTCCTCCTCAACGGCAAGGAGATCAGCAGCCAGGACAAGGTAGAGAGACCCTAGTACCGCAAGTCCAGCACCAACGATAGGTGCCCATTGACCTACAAACAGTAAAAATATCCTGTAAGCAATTTGCACCAAACCGATGGATATATGAAGGTAAACGCGTACCGATGCTGGCAACCGGTTCAGTTTGATATACGACTTGAGGACTGAAGAAGTTCATCTCGCCTAAAATGAGAATGCCCAACACTGCAGCCCCAAATACAGGAATTTCTACGACGCTGAGAAACAATCTGATTAGGGAATTGACACTATTCATCCTTTTAATGGTGGCTCCATTCGTGCCCTCGATCGGCCTGTCAACCTGTTCATTCTCACCCCCGAAACGTTTCTTTCGGTTGGCCTCAAGAATCTTGCTCCACATGGATATTAATGAGAGGACGGCTGGGATGCAGCATGCCGCAGCCATGAGCGTAGCCGTGCCGAACGTGATCCTGTCGGGCGCGGGAATCACGTATATATTGCTCGCTGAGCCACCCCGCATGGGAGAGAAGGGACCTTTCTCTTCCGAACAGGTTAAGCCACATCGAGTGCCATAAGGAAATTTTCTGGGGTTAGAGGGAATGGGCTTCCCGGATTCGTCGAATGGGCAAGGTTTCGGTTGAATTCGAAAGAACTCGACGGCCAAACTTAGCAGTCCTTTAGGGACAGCTGTTAGTCTTGGCCGAACAAGTAGGGGAGGGCCTTCAACGATCGAATAAAGGATGATCAACAACCGCTAATAAACTTACCAGCAAGTACGAGGAGGGTCCACAGGGAAATGAGATTCCGCCCGGGGTCATTGAAGTAGGTACGAGACACTCTGACTGCTACTGGGGCGGTCAAGATGCCTATTGCGCAGAGTTGGAAAGCTCCGAAGATATCCATATCGACAGCGCCTTGAGGACAAAGCTGTCAATTTGAGGATATTCGGAGCCACGGCACTTGGGGGAGGGACCTCACCTTGAAAATTGAGCGCAGCCAGAACAATGCCATGGAGCGCAGCGACAGCCGGAAAAAGCAATACCGCTGCCAGACACGCATTTCTGAGCCAGTCTGTCTTGCGTGCAAACACACACGCTGCTATCAGGACATAGTAGCTAGCAGGTGGATTTGGCTGTCAGCCTCTTGCCGGCACGTTTTCTCTTCGGCTTTCCTAAGTGGTGAACTTACAGCACCCTTGTGCCTGGGCCATACTGCCCAGAGACCGGCCAAGCACATATCACTTGCAAAGCAGCGCTCGTAGCGTTTGTAGATACGTTGTTGGTTGCAGCTTCAACGTTGCGATTGACAATCAAGGCATCTGGCAACGAGGCTGTATAAATCGCTGGCATTATTGTTCACAACTGTTCTTTACCCAGACTATCGCCTATCGCGGGGAGGAACTTAAGTTAGGTCTTCCTGAGGAGAATAAGAGACAGCGGGATCACATAATTTTATTCGATAGTTAACTATCCTGAATGAGAAAGAAAAGTCGTCTGCATAATTAAAATGCCCATCAACCTGAATTCGCCGTTGTTTTAAAAGAATCTGGGGAGAAAACGTAACACTGATCCTTCAACTAACTACAGCGGGAGCCGCACTTGATTAACTATCAGCCTTAACTAGCTGACATATCAACAGGTGAGTGATCATCTGCGGTATGCCGAGTTAGTTAAATCAAGGCTCGCTGGGCTTTTAGCCCTTCTCGTCGAATCAGACAGCACAGTTCCGTCGGTACTTCAGCCCTGTAACTAGGCGAGAGTGACACGAAGGTCATTGAGGCTCAGCGCCCCAATATCCCAGGATGTCCACAGGCTGCGGCTATTTAAAACGGAATGCCAAACAGGCGCTGCGAGCCTGCGAGAATATGGGGAGAGAATTTCTTTACGTCTAGTGAGCCAAAAGTCGGACTCATTATTCGACACTGTCCCGCTGCTGCGGCGTTTGCGAAACCGTGAAATCTGATTTATCCATCGAACGTTCCAAACGAGCCAACAACCCACTTAGCTATGTCTAGTGGCATTTAGTCGCCTAGTTAGTTAACCTGCCTTGCCAGCCATTCTCCTGCGTGGCTTGGACCAGGGAGAGGCTTGGAAATTATTTCTCGGCGGAGCTAAAAGCTGCGAACACCGCCAGCATAAGAAGAGGTGATCTCCTCCGCCGTGGTGTGCGGGATTCCGATTGATTCTTCGAATCGCAGGGAGACTCGGAGGCAAAGAGGCAAAGAAACAAAGAAACAGAACAGGGTAACTAGTTAACCAACTGCCTCAGCAGCTTGCCAACCCGACTGCATCTGCTGGTCAGCGGGAAATCTTCTTTGCAGAATCCTTTCTGTCATATGCAAAACCGGTTGGACCCATCAATATCCCCCGTCGCTGAGTTAGGGAAACACAATAAGCCGTTAAGATGGCAGGGAAAGCAGAGAAACCCATAGAAGCGGATCTTAATACTGGGGATATTAGGAACTGGCGGTCAATTGTAACGCTTCTTGTCTTCATTATCACCAGTAAGATGCCCAGGACATCTCATATATCTCGTTATGCAGTATGTTAACGCTGCAGAAATGTGACAGATATCATCGTTTTGTTTCCCTTTCATATCCCCATTTACTTCCCTCGGTGGCTTGCAAACGCATTTCTTGATGGGCTCAGTGCGGTACGAGTGATATCGCCCAGACAGAGCCACGTAGAGTACGATTATGGTGAAGTTGATGATCAGAGTGGCAAAGCCAAGCACAAGCTCTTTGTTCGATTCAATTTTCCCATGAATTTTGTCACAGCTCCCTTGATAGCAGACCTCTTCTTGCTGGCCATCTTGGCTATTGGAAAAGAAGAAGTGAGTGGTGGTACACTGGGGGCGAACAATATATCTCCAATTGATATTATGGCTTTTTTTATTACGCTGGCCTACATTGCTATATCAATTGACGCGTCCGGTCTGATTAGGTTCCTGGCATTCAAGGTGCTTCAAAAAGGAGGCAAGGTTGGGCATCGGCTTTTCTTCTATCTTTATGCTTTCTTCTTTGTCCTGGGAAGTTTTATCGGTAACGACCCCATCATCCTCTCTGGCACCGCCTTTCTCGCCTATATGACTCGGGTGTCGAGCAATATCATCCATCCAAGAGCCTGGATTCATACGCAACTTGCTGTTGCGAACATCGCATCCGCAATACTGGTTTCCTCCAACCCAACCAACCTCGTCCTTGCAGGCGCGTTCAAGATCAAGTTCATTGTCTACACCGCAAACATGATAGTTCCCGTTGTTGTTACTGCTATTGTCTTATTTCCCTTTTTGCTCTACATTATATTTGCCGACCCGGCACTTATCCCATTCGCCATCGAGATGCACGAACTCTCCGAGGAAGCTAAAGCGAAGAAGCCCGTAAATCCCAATATTCCTCATGCTCGAGGACTGGCTGAAGAGGATGAGAACCAGCTCGCAGACGATGACCAAGCAAAGCTACTCTCTCTCGAAGAGATTATGAACCCATTTTTGGACAAGGGCGGCGCAGCTTTCGGAGCAGTCATCATGACTGCTACACTTGTTACTCTCCTGGCACTCAACGCTGCTAGCCAGAGTAGCGGTGAACATCCCATCTTCTGGGTTACCTTACCGGCTGCCTTTGTTATGTTTTGTTGGGATGTAGGTTTCGGATGGTATCATCGACATGAGACGCGTGAAATCGCTCGCAAGGGCCGCGAGGAAGTCAGAAATGCTCGAATTGAGCAAATGCTCAGACAGGAGGAGGAAATGAGGGTAGCGTCATTCGAGCAAAAGAATCACGTTGATATGGCTATGTATGGAACTCCCTTAACACTAACACAGTCTCCAGAACCCCAACCGCAAGGCCAAAACAATGCAGGGATTGGCAGCAGAAGCCAGGGTACGTCAAAGACTGATGACGAGATTACACTAGCGGCCGAGATTTCCAAGTATTCTCCTGTCATCCTCACCTCTGAATACAATGAGGGCCCAACTTTTGCATCCACGCCCCCGCGGGAAAAATCGCCATCTCCCATTCGAATATTAACCGACAATAAGTTACAGGATGGTCAGGCATCAGCCACTGGCGCGATTGCTACAATAGACGAGAAGCAGGAAGTAGTTCACACTCACAGCAACCAACAGCAGCAAGAGTCATCAGTGGACGGGGCAGAGCGATCATTTTCAAGTCGAGTCTCGCTGGAGATTGCAAGGCGCCAGGACGGGGGGCGGACAACGCTTATTTCACTTCTCAAGGAGGCCTACCGATGGACTCAGGATACATTTCCAACTGTCACAGCGGTGGTGGCCCATTTGCCATTTGCACTTGTACCCTTTGCCTTCACTATGTTCATCCTAGTGCAAGCACTTGTCACCAAGGGCTGGGTACCAGTGTTCGCTTACGGATGGGACCATTGGGTGAACAAGACTGGCACCGTCGGTGCCGTTGGTGGTATGGGCTTTCTCTCTGTGATATTATGCAACGTGAGTCCCCTCTCCCATCCCTTTCTTCATATATCTATGTATAGATGTATATATTACATTGCAACTCTGATAAACTAAATTATTATGATCTGTAGTTCGCTGGCACAAACATTGGCACCACCATTCTGCTCTCCCGCGTCATTCAGTCGTGGCAGGCAATCCACGTCCAGAACAACATCCCCATCTCTAACCGCACATTCTGGGCAACGGTGTACAGCATGGCGATCGGCGTCAACTACGGTGCATTCAGCACGGCATTCAGCGCGTCTCTCGCTGGAATGCTCTGGCGAGACATCCTTGCCAGAAAGCACATCCGAGTCCGCAGCCTTGACTTTGCACGAGTTAACCTTCCCATTATCGCCATCTCGATGGCTGTCGGCTGTACTGTTCTCATTGGACAGATGTACATTATTAGGAATACCGATCCTTATGATGCCGGATGATTTTGTTGGTGCCGTTTTGCTTGCTGTTACTGGGTGAGGACGTCTTAGATTTTCTGTTTTTCCCATTTTTTTTTTATACACACCCTATTCAAAATGATGGCTAAAGTGTGGGCCATAGTATTTCAACATTTTATACGTTCAGGAAAGCCAGGAGGCATCCGTCGGGGAGCTGAAGTTGAAGCTGTGGGTGCCATTGTTCGCGGAACAGTAGTGCTGAGGATTTTGTAAAGCGTCGGGAAATAGATCTGTCTTACAATTCGTTACTCCTAGTGGATGAGATATTCCTCAAGAGACTAAGAGATTTGATATTGATGGTATGGCGGCTCAGCTAACACCCCGCTTCGACCTCGTCATGTACGAGCTAGACCATACACAAACATACACAAAATAGAGCTTTACGACTCCATGACTGGGTTTTTGAGGTTTTCGTCTTTCCTCCTTTACCTTTTTGTTCTATATTGATTTCACGATTTGATGATGTCTCCTTCTGTACCTGGATTATTCTCCCAGAAGAACGCAGTCAATACGGATGCTTGTTGACTTTTTGGTCAGATATAATTATCTATACAAGTGTCCCCGCCGGAAAACTAAATTATATTATTTTTGTGCCATACTAAGTTTATCGGAATGCATGGCGAGGAGGATGTTTATATTAATGCTCGTATATGTTAAGTTATAAGCTTGCTCGGTACATTCCCTCTTTTGAGACTTCACAAAGTTAACGTATCTCCTGTTTCCTTTCTTGCTATGATGGAGGAGAAAATGGACTCAGTTTTCTTTGAAGACACTCCTGACTCTTCTACCAACGTTTTAAGCTTGCTTTTTAATACATTGAAATATTAAGGGGCAATTCTTCGAGCAAGGATGGACTATAACCGATGACTTCGCTTGTTAGTAAACTCGCGTAGATCAAACATATCATCGAATACTGTATGGAAATTCTAACAACAATAGTCTACCGGGGAGATGTAAGCAACTGGAACATCACCATCATGTCATCGTTAATATCGACGCCGTCGACGTTTACAACCCTCATCGACATCAATGCCATCATTGCGATCAACACCAACATCAACCCGCTCCTCTATTCTGTATAACGGATAATGCCGCCTCCGCCGCCTTTGTTTCAACCTCTACAAGACTAACCCCGTCATGCTCCTCGAAGACGCACTCATCATCTACAAAAACTTTGCAAGTCCAATGTCCCAACGCATCCTCTTCAACCACATGCACCGTCTCATACCGAACTTGCATCTGCCCGACCATTTCCCCCAGCCGTTGCTTGGGATGCATAATATCGATTTCAGCCTGCAGTATGCGTCGGAGAAAGTTCATCAGCCCTATACGCTCTAAGAATGCAGTGCAGGCATCGAGGGAGCCGTGAGAGTCAATGAAAATCGCTCCGAGCACGCTCTCAATGAGGTCGGAGAAAAACTTCTGCGCACGAAGCCGCGAAAGGAGGGCCCAGGGGTACGTGTCTGCCTCGTATAGGGCTTTGGTGATATCAGCTTTCAGCGCTTGGTATTGGTTGACTGTTTGTTGCTGGGAGACTGTAAGTTCCCATGAAGTGCCGTGTCGCATGTACTGCCAGAGGGAGATTTTGCGGGTAGTCATTCGTGTGAATGTTCCATTTCTGGAGGCTTCTACAATCTCCCCGCGCTCCTCGTCAGTAGTCATTCCGATGCAGAGAAATGCGAGAAAATCCGCGTTTGCCAGGGAAGCGCGCATCAGATGCATGTCGACGTGTGGGAAGTTCCGGGGTGAATTGAAAAGGTGGTCAACGATTATGTGATCGAGTATTGAATCTCCCAAAAACTCCAGCCGTTGATACGACATTGTCGAGCCTGGATTGGACGGATGAGTGAAGGCCTGGGCCAGGAAAACTTTCTTGTTGAAGGTATATCCCACCAAACTTTCAATATCCCGAAACCACGAAGTGGGCAGGTTTTCGTAGACCTCAGGAACAGAATTATAGAGAGCATTGAGCCTGTCTGCGAAGGGTATCCAACGGATTTCTGGAAGGAAAATTTTTAGACATTTTTCAACCTTTATTTGGCCTCCATCTATGGTGGCTGCCCCAAGCAACGCTTCGATTACGTCTGCGAGGGTTTTTGTGGACATCTCTCGCCGAGGGATATCTTGTTCTTTGACATGGGCTTTATTATACAGGGGCCGCCACTTCACACCCGTGAAAATGTCCACAAATATAAATTTATCCAGTCCCGTTTCGATGGCTGCATAGGAGAGTCGTTTGTTAGATACCACCTCGTCCTTGGCATTTGACAAAAGGCCCTCATGCCAAATTGGATTTGCCGCTAATAACTGAAGTGATGTGTGAAATTTAAGAATACTATCGCCCAAAAATTCGATACGTTGATAGTTGGTTGCCTCCCTCGCGTCAGGGGCGCATAGGGCAGTAATGACAAGATTCAAATCCGTAAAACCTACAGGAGAAAGTATCGTCTTATTCAATTCTTCGGCGATCAAGTATGTTTCCACCTTGTGGATGATTGACGGAGAAAGGAGGGCGAACATGGTGTACTCTAAAGGTAGTTTATCAATCGAACAGTCGCGAGCTGGGAAGCACTTCTTCGCTGTGGAGTGTAGATGTGGGCCAGCGCTTTTAGCAACGGGATGCAAGAAGTCAGTACGTTTGGGCAAGGCTGTGCCCTCAATATGGAGAATTTCTTCTTCATCAACTCCCGACCTGCCGTCCACGTCATCAGAACTTGCGCCTTCAGAAAATGGTTTCATCCATCTATACCGCTCCGCGGTCCATGGCCGTTCTATCCTACCACAACTCCGGACAAGTCCTAGTTTGCTCAAGCTTTCATTATCGTAATGAGATGCATCGCTAGCTTGAATCTTCCCTTGCACAGAGGAGTACCATTTCATCATTTCGTCTTCAGTTAGTTTCACCGCTGGCAGAAATAAACAAGAGAAATCAAAACAGTCCGAAGGCATTTTGTGGGCAAACACGGAGGATAATATGGCATGGGTTGCTCGGGCTGCGTGCTTGATGAGACTTGCCGTGATAGATGAGGACTCCTGCTTCAGGTGGACTTTGAACGTATTATTCGCATTCCAGAAGATGTTGAATGATATATCACATGGTAGAGGAACTGGCAGCACCAACCGCATTTGCGGGAAGGGGATAGAGTCGGATGATATCTCGATTAGACTCTGGTAAAACTTCTGTGTTGTTTCCCAGCGACTTGCAATCATTGACCAGGGATCGAAACGTCTAGATATCTTAACAACGCTGGGCCTTTGTTCGCAATATTCCAGTTTTGGGTCTTCATCACCTTTCCAATGTACCGGCAGTAAGTAGTCGTTGACAAGTCCTTCGTTATATAGTTTAAGATACGCCTGGAATGCGGCATCGCGCTGCGCCATCCGTTCTGTTTTCCATCGTTTCGAGCCGTGGATAACTCGAAATTTTGGATCAAGGACGTTGGGTAAGATAACTTTTGCAGCGACCATTCCGTCCTCTTTGCTTTCGTGGAATATAAAGTGAGGCCGAGAGTCGGTAAATGCATAATGTAGCGTGGCGCAAAAATGCTCTAAGTGTTGTCGAGCATTCTCAAGAGTCAAGAGTGCCCTAAAGCACTTTAGTAATTGGAAAACTGAATAAAAAAAAATGGTGACGTTAAAATTACATACCCTGTTGATTCAATTCTAAGATACTGATCCCCTTCCTCCACGATGTTCTCCCTAGCCATGTTATCTTCAAGTCTGCGCATGTCGTCTTCATAAATGCTCTTCATCACATCCTCCAATCTAGTCCATTGTTTCTCCTCAGATATATTATCGCTGTCCAAAAACATGACGAATTTCGAATGTTCTTTCCGGGCTCTGCCCCTCCTCTGAATGAAGGACCTGAGGTTTTTAATGGCATCGAAACAGACCACTAGATGACAAGCTGACACATCGATCCCTTCCTCGAGGACGGATGTTGCGATGAGTAGGTTTTTCTTCCCAGAGCGTAGATCATCGATGGAGCCCTTTTGGGACCTCGTGTCATGAACTTCGGTAATCGTTGATGTTCGGCTCGCGTAGCAAGCATCACCCAAAAAGGCACCAGAAACAATGATATCCTTGAGTCGGGGATGTTTGGAAATAAGATGTGAAAGCATTGTAACGGTGGCTCTTTGTTGGGCAAATATGATTCCAGTGAAGTCTGCCGTGTGTTCGCTCTCCAAAAGTTCTACGAGAAGATTCACTTTGGTAGAGACTACATTGGACTCACTGTCCCAGTCCTGTTTTACGGGGGATATCGACAGTTCAGAGAGCACTTCAGAGATGAACGCCTCCTCTTCTCTGTCCAAGGAAGAATGAAATTCAACCTGTTGGTACATGCCCCGTTTGGTTTCAAGTCGTTCTATGACTTCAGAAATGAAAGCATCTGCAGCCCATGGCCCCAGGTCATCGTGGACACTAATGGCTTGCCTTAAAAGCTTGGATAGTTGTGAGAGGCAATGCGTTTTGCGTTTCTCTAGAGCATGCAACAGCTTTTCTTGGCTTCTTCTGTCCTCTTGTCTTCTGAGCCGTTTGATCCACGGGTCTTTCTCGATGTCCACAGTACCAATGATTCGACTGAGGTTTTGTAGCATGTCCGAATGGATTAGTGAATCCGTCCTAAATTTCACCGTATAGAGTTCTGGGCGATGAACATATCGCATCAACTCCTCCCGGTGGATCCTAGGAGTCTCACATCGAGCATTCAAATTTTTCTCGACCTTCCTAGTCCAATTAGTCAACGAATAAATGGCTTTGTAAGTAGACATACTTCAAGCTTTCTGGATCGGCCCTGGTAACGGGACTGGCTGTCAACCCCAAAATATGGGGAAGGTCAGTTTTGGTTCCAGTTCTTTGCAGTTGCTCATGATAAAATCGTTGCATGATAGTATTTGCCGGGGAAAATCCGTCGCAATGGTGAGCTAAAGTAGGAGTTAGCTCAACAGCACTTTGAATATGCAGTTACACGTACAGCACCAGTTTTCTTCTTCTTTTTTTTCCTTCCTTTTCTGTTTATTTTTAATTTTTTTTTTTTAGAAAAACCTAGATTCATACCTTCATCGAAAACCAGAAGGGAAATTCGAGACATGGTAACAAACCCATGAGATAAAGCATCAAGGAGTATCTGGGGAGTCGAAACAACTATTCTGATATTCAAAAGTATATCGTCCCAAATTTTCTTCGTGGACCAATAATGCACTTTATCTGATCCTAGCAGGAGTCTCGTCTGATATACAGAAAGCTGCTGGGAGATAATTTTATGTTGCTGATCTGCGAGAGCAACAGTGGGAGCAAGAAACCAAACAAACTAGTTATATATTGGTAGAGTTAATGGATGCCAGTGAAGGGGATATATCAAGGGGAGACCTCCTTGAGACCGAATTTACGAACCTTGTCCTCAGTGCATGTTTCCAGCTCATGTCTGATTCGAAGTATAGCACTAATTTTGACAGAATAGTTTAGACTTCACGCGCAATTAAAACAGAGCTCTATGGGCCCTCTACACAGGAGGTAGTGGACCCGCTCACAGGGGACAAAGGTCATCCACGGATGACATTCCTTCGACAGGAGTTTTGGAAGTAAATGTGACAAGAGCACAGAAAAATTTTACACACTCACATCTGAGTCTTGCCACTTCCAGTGTCCATCTGCCAGTTCATTTGTTAGCAATGTTATTGTAGAATATGGATGAAATGGAAGCATCTCCAAGTTCATGTCTGGGTCGATGCATAACTAAACTCACGGCAATGATAATGTTTTCTTTCAAACTTGCCTCCAGCATTTCCAGCTGGTAGGCTCGTGGTGTGAGAACTGAAGCAGCATAGTTTTCAACTCCAACTCCATTCTTCAAAGCAGAATCAATGACAGGATATTTAGTAGCTTGGGACATCTTTCTTTTCTGATTGAGGTTGATCATATTCACAGGTTGGAATTGAGGAACACACAATGGCAGTATCTGCCGTGCGATTTCCCAAGGATTTATGAAAGGAAATGAAGTGTATGAGTGAAAATTTTCATGAACGTTGAGAGAAGCTTTCAGGCATTCATACAAGTCCTCAGCACCAATAACAATTATAGCTTTGTTGTCTGGGTGAGTGTTGTAACGTGTTGGATGTGTTGTACGTCGCAATATTAGGGAGCTGGCCAATCGTAAGGACTGAACCAGGCAAACCCCGCCAACCCAGGGGACAACCACAAACAAGTGGAAAGTTAGAGACGGAGTCATAACCATGAGGTTGATGAGGGTGACCTTATGAATCTGAAACAGATTTGCAAGAAAATGAAAAGGTTTGGAAGTGCGCCTACTACAATACAAAGCTAAAGGCGGAAAAATAAATGGCGAAAAAAAAAAAAAAAAAAAAAAAAAAGGAATTATTTGATAAACTATTACGGAGCACTGCTAACTGCTAACTTAAAGTCTATTCAAATCATAAGTTGGTCAGGTAATCCTCAATCTCCTCCTTGCTCAGCTTCCGGAACCGTGGCCCTCTTGCGCCTTCCACTCCCTCATACCCTAACAGATGGTCGGCCGGTGGTCCAACAATGCCTGCATAATTGGTTAGTAATAGCACCGAAATATACATGTAGATATTGAAAGATGAACGGCTGATTTGACGTACCGATTTCAACAGTTTCACCATTCATTTCACCCTCAATGGTCTCCTTCAGCGTGAGAAGTGCTATATGGATAGCATCTTCCAGCTCAAGGCCCTCTGTGTATCTCTTTTCAAGGAATGTTTTCGCGCTGGTTGCGCTTTTGCCAATAGCTGTGGCTTTCCATGGGAAGTAACTACCGCTGGGATCGACCTGGTATAAACTGGGGCCTCCCTTCAGGATTCCTCCCGTCTTACCCGACGCCTTCTTCTTGTTTGTGTCTAGTTCTCCCTCCGCAGGGATGGGTTTAACTCCGTCATCCCAACCGGCAATGAGCAAGCTGACACCATATGGCCGGACACCTCCAGACTGCGTAGCCTCCTGCACAACACGGGCAACGTCCTGGACCAATATCCTAGTCGGGGGGTATTCGTTGTAAATTCGTTTATAAGCGGTATGAGAGGTCTTTCGAGCTTTGTCGACGAGGACACGGTAATCAGGACCCATGCCCGAGTAGACCATGCCGATATCTGGAGTGATTAGGGAGATTTTTGACAGTGAAGGAGGTTCTATCAGGGGGGAAGAGGATTTTTTCTCTGTGGCAAGAACGACACCATTCGTAGCTAGTAGGAAACAGGAAGAAGGTGGTCAGCAATAGGTTTAGCAATTGTGATGTATAGGATAGCCAGAGTTACCTTTGATGCCCAAAGCAGTGACACCTTGGTTAACGGCATTTAGAGCATATTCTACAGAGAAAATTAGCTATTATAAGGCTAGGATATACAAGGCGACTATCTCCCTACCGATCTGAACTAGCTTTCCACTACAATGTTTGTCAGTATTTGGAGCTGAAAGTTGTAGATATAAGCCAAGGCGGTCAGAACACACCTGGGAGAGAAGGTAGTCAAGGAAAACGAGTAGCGATCTGCCATTGTAGATGAACCGCTCAGGAGCAACAACTGTAGAAAACAAAAGACAAACCACAACTGGTATGGAGTATAGAGGGTATAGAGAGTGACCAGTGGCAGTGAGAGTGTTGAAGTCGTTGACTTGATCCTCCTCTCGCTGTTGCAGCTGCACGCACATCAGCCAGGCTGCCAGACTGTTTGACGCGGGATTGCTTGCAAGCGTAGTATCGCGTCTATTATGACCAGTAGCATCAACGGCGCTTATGTTGCCTTTTTAGGGCTAGTGGCGGCTCCTGCCGAACCTCCTGTCAATGGACGCGATTATTTCCCGAGGTCTTCCATCCAGCCACTTGTCAACACCTAATAATCGCTGTCTAACTCTGTTGCGGGCACAGGATGTTTGTGCCCCTGCGAAAGTGGCCTATTAACCAGCCAGAGCTTGAAGATGGTTGAGCATCTATAAATTGCTTCTTTATTGACTTATTCTTTGTTTCTCTGTATCCTTTATCCGCGAGTCCCGAACAACTTCTGAGAGACTCGTCAGGATGTCACTCCCTTCCGGTCCAAAGGCTGAACCTCAGTGGCAATCGCCTGAGAATACCTTTTCTCGGACAGCGGAGTCTGGAACGGAGCCTGCGTCTGGGCTTACTAGTTCTTCACGGCGGAAATCGAGTGTACCCGAGACTCCGCAAAGCCAGAACTGGGTGGGAGAAGCGCCATCGCCCTCCCCGTCCGCAAGCTCGTCCAGACACTATCCTCCCAGAACATGCCGTATCTGCCTTGAAACTGTCTTCCCCACCTTTGAGCCTGTATCAGAGAATCTCCCAGATTTCCTCCAGGCTGCTCCCCGTGTTACATACGAGTCAGCGGATCCCGAGCTGGGACGACTCATTCGACCTTGCAAATGCAAAGGGTCCTCGAGATATGTGCATGAAGGATGTTTGAATATGTGGAGACATGCGGATCCGGCATATTCTGACAGGAACTATTGGCAATGTCCCACATGTGGTTTTCAGTATCGTCTGGAGAGAATGAGATGGGGGCGATGGATCACAAGCACCCCAACCCAGCTGGTCCTCACAGTCGCTATACTTCTGCTTGCGATGTTCGTGCTTGGCTTTGTTGCTGACCCCATAATAAAGTTTTATATTGATCCGTTTGATACCATATTCTCGCGGTTCTATGATTCGGATGAAGGGGACAACATTTTCTATCCTGAAGAGGTTGAGGATGTCCGCGAGACATGGACTGAGCACTTTTTCAAGGGCCTTGCTTCTCTTGGAGTATTGTCATTTGTCAAGGTTCTATTCGCTCTTTCCCCATGGCAGTGGTGGAATCTGCGGAATTCGGGTCTGGTTGGTGGAGCTCGTAGACCTGCTGCCACTGGCAGGGATCGAGCGGCCTCCGTTAGTTGGATTGTTCTCTTAATCGGGGTTATAACATTTCTTTGGGTATGTTTCAACTTTAGATTACTAATTTTTCTTCATCTCTAATTGAAACCTGCAGGGAGTGTACAAAGGCGTACGGACATGGAGCCGCAAGGTACTTGAAAAGGCCGGTGACCGAGTTCTAGATGTCCCATTAGAGAACGACGATGAACCCACCGCCACTGCACATACACCTCCGCAAGAGCTGCTGACTTCCAAGAAGGAAGATTGATGTCCATCCATACCACCTGTTTTATACCCTTACCCTCCCCTTCCTCCCCTTCCTTCCCTTTTTTTTTTTTTAACCGTGTTGCCCCAACCTAGTGAGTCCTAGATCAAAAATAGTATTTTTTGATGGTGTGACATCCCTCTTATTTTTTATTTTTTATTTTTTATTTTTTATTTTTATTTTTATTTATTTATTTATTTATTTTTTTTTTGGCGACGTCTACTCTTGGTTCATCTGGACTTAAAACACACTACGCACTACTTAAGTTGTCACGATCCTTTCTTATGGTGTGCCAATTAGTCAAAGTGCGAATATCAATGAAACCTTCGTTAACTGCCTTTATTCCTACTACGGAGGAGATATCTTCTAAGCATCGGAACACTAAACATTTTGTTTTGCTTGTTCCACTTTGTGCTTGCGTCTTTTATCCAAGTTTAGTTGGCGGGAAGATTTGATCATAGTCTCAATCGGTATAGTTCGCTCCAGGGAATGTGCTTTGGTGCAAACCTTGATTCATGGTTCCTGTGCATCAATTACCACCCATCTAGGGGGCTCTTTTTGCTAGAAGGGAATTCTTCGAGCGTTCATTCTGGATTGAACTGTGATACATAAACCAAGTTCTCTCCTTTCTCTTTTTGGGTTTATTTTCTGAATAACTTAGTACTTGACGTAGTTATTCGCAACGCGTGGCTTATATAATGGGTTTGGAGTCAATTACTAACTAAATAGAAAGCAATCGGACGAGAGGGGGGAGGACGCATTCTTCAAAATTTCCGCCTCCCTTTGCTGGATGATCCTTGTGTTTATCTTTTGTCACTACGAAACAAGAACACATGCCCCTGTATCAATCACGGCTTTTCGCAAGACATTCCTAAGTAATGGGACCCAGCAAGGTAAAATTCCACTCGGACATTCGGCCCACCCAATTCCAGGCCATCTATTGGAGCCGCATCTCCGAACAACTTGAACCGTCCATACACTCCACACCAGCAAAAGGCAAATGGCTAACTGTCTCGCGAACGTGGAAAAAGAAAAAGCTCTCAGCAATGTACTCCACAAAATATTTCGACGGTGTTTTTGGGCATCGTACTTTTTCACGCAGGGATTCCAAGAGCGGGGATGAATCTACTCCCTTGGTGGGGGGAGTCTTTTTAAGGCGAACCACCAATGTCAGAGCTGGCCAAGTTTGCCGCTCCCTAACATAGATTCTCAATTGAGGATAAGATTAAGAATAATAAAATAATAAAAATAAAATGCTAGAGATCAGTGCCGTGTGTGGAAATTACGGCAGATAGTTAACTACATGATGTATGTCATCCTTGATGAGCCCCCGGGGCGGGGGGGGGGGGGTGTTCTTTACGACACCCAATTGCAAATGAGGTCTTGAAGAGTGTGTATGATCACACTCATCTCCTTCTGACAACTGATTTTGAATATAACCTAGGTTACAGCGGTTGAATCACCTAAACACCAGGAGCCAATTAGAAACATCATGCTGAGTGTGCCGTAGTCCTGTCAAGCATAAATGCGTTTCTTTTTTATCTTCAATTCAAACAGCCACCCGCCTCCCGTGACAGACGCCATTGGGTGAACGGTACAAGTCGAACCCAACGACGTTGTTGTCTCAGCCGGAATGCTCCCCAAACATCGAGCGGCTACCCCGTTTGGAAAGTTGCCCGAATAATCGCCGCGGGTTTTGCACACGCTCTGGCACGTTCTGCTTCCGCCGTGCGGCTGCCACCGGTTAAAGGATTCCCTGCCCGTGGCCTGATACTTACTTCATGACCTTAGTTAATGCCGAGATGAGAAATTGCTGAGGAGCGGGTTACCCATAATAGCATCATCTATTTGCGCTCCAGTTCCTCGATGGGTCGCCGGCCCCCTTTGGGCTCAAAGGCGCCGCAAGGCAACGATCATCCATCCCATCCACACAGGCTTGTCCACGGGTGCAAGTCAGCAATTTGATAATTATTCACCGTTTCGCCTTGCCCGTACGTAGCTAATACAATCCCCACACGCGGACCACCAAGCGCGGAGTGTTCACTGAATAATTAAGAATACTCAATCCCTGCTTTTTGCCCACGATGTCGCGATATTATTAAGAAATCCTCAATCAATTGAAAAAAATAGAAATTCTTACTGAGGGCTTATCTGATGATGTAAAACTTATTTTTAAGGTGATTTTCGTGTCTTTATATAATCAACTTTGGACGCTAAAAATTTTATTCAACAAATAGATTTTGCATGATTTGAGGAACTACAGAAATCAGCTAATAATAATTATTATAATTATAGATCATTCGATAGCCCTCAGCAAGGGCTTTCTTCAATTAGAGAATCTGCACGACTGACTGCCTTGTTGGGGAGAAGAAGAAGAAAAAGAAAAAAAAAAAAAAAAAAGGAAAAAAAAGGAAAAAAAAAAAAAAAAAAAAAAAAAAGAAACAAAAGGGCCCTGCTGCTTTACTGTTCACCTGCAACTCGTTCAGAACAACGCGCGGGCCAGGCCGGATTGCAGGAATCCAACAGGTTGCTCGAAGAATTATCGCGGGCCACCGGTTGGCCAGCCTTCCCTATTTCGACCTAGCTTGGTCCTTTTCATAGTTAACTCGCCGACATCACCAGTAACTCTGCATTGCTTGTTGATGACGGCACCAAATGCGGAGGCAAACCTATCATGGGGAGAGCCGTAACTGGGCAACCCAAGTATCTCTTAGGAAGCATGAAACCCTGAGCTGGATCTCCGGGGATTTGATTTCGGATTGACTCTTGCATCTTTGCTTTTCTGACGCCGTCAACGGAGGTCCTTTGTCCTTTCGCCCATATCCCTGGACCATGGACGGCTGAACCGTTGAAGCTCAGCTCCTCCTCCTCCGCAGTTCCTAACCCCAGAATAAGAACAATTCTGTTCCCACAACAATGACCTAGATCTCCCAGCATTAAGCTGGTCACTGTTTGACTCTTCCCCTTGTCATGGCCCCCGGAGTCTCCAACCCTGCAGCCATGGTGGCATGCACTCCATGTCGCGGCGTCAAGATGAAATGTATCCGGGAGCCGGACTCGACCGTGTGCAGCCGCTGTAAACGGAAGTCAATCCCATGCTTCTTTGAAGCTCATCGCCGCGGCCGTAAGGCTGGCACAAGGTGAGTGCGGTTCTATGGGAAAAAGTGGACGACTTCACAAAAAAAAAAAAAAAAAAAAAAAAAAACCATTTCTTTATCAACCGCTGCCAGCTCTTTATGTATGGTGGGGTGGTGGGGATTCTATTTTGCTTTACCGTATATGCGCGTTCTATTGCGGTTTTGGGCAGGTTACTCCTGATTGAAAACCATCTCTCTCTCTCTCTCTCTCTCTCTCCTTTTTTTTTTTTTTGGGTCGTTTGAAAAATATCGACATTTTTTAATCGTTTCTGCCAGGCTGCGACCAAGGGCGAAACAGAATCAGAGAAAAAATTCGAAAGATGCCCTGGAACCGAATCATCCTCCCCCATCCGCTCCACCAACTGAAAAATATGTAGCGGTGGATGGCGCGTCAATTGAGCGTTCAAGGCCTTCTATGGCATCCGATAGTCTTTCTCCATATGGCTTGCTCCCAAGATCCGCAACCTCTGGGAAATTCTCTATCGCGAACGTGCTCAATGCCGAAGACGAACCTCCCACACCCCATGCTACAGAGCGTAGAACGAACAGCCCAACAAGCGGTAGCTGCGCGAATGACATGAACGATCCAGTAATTCGGAATCTTGTTGATCTTCAAACAACCCAAAAATTGTTTGATAAGTACGCCTTTCTAGTTTTACACACGAGAATCATTTTTCAATTTTTTCAATTTTTTCAAAAAAAAATTTTTTTTTGTCATCGTCCAAGTTGGTGAGTGAGCCCTGCGAATAACTGATACAATATTCATCATGCAGCTTTTTCACATACATGAACCCTTTCATTTGCCAGTTTGATCCCAAGTTACACACATTGAAATACATCAGAGAGCGCTCATCCTTCTTGTTTTCCGCCGTGCTTTCAGCTGCGGCAAAGATTTTCATGCCACCTCTGTACATGAAGCTTCGCGACCATGTGGAGACCATGCTTAAAGAAATTTTGATCACTGGACAGATGTCAACAGAAATTGTCCAGGGGATTTGTCTTTTAACTTATTGGAAAGAACCAAGTGACTCGCGGACATGGCTCCTCGTGGGCTATGCGATACGAGCATCTATAGACATGGGCTGGCACAAGCTCCACTCGCCATGTCGAGATGGTTCTGCAAATTCCGCGAGAGAATCCGTGCAAACGGAGCTTGATATTCGGGAACTGCGAAGCAAAGAACGAACCTGGCTCATGTTATTTGTGTACGACAGAAGGTATGCAATCTTCCTATCTTCGCCCTGTTCTATTTAACTTCGGAACGCAGCTCTCTATTATCAATTGTGGAAAAATCTGGGATTGGGACTCACTGCATGGACACATTAATTCTAGTGTAAGCCTTCAAATGGGGAAACCGTGGATGATCCAAATGGACCCCCTGATTCGAAACGCGGGAAATTGGCACCAACATATCTATGCGGTGCCAGGCTGCGATCAAATCATGTCTGCTTTCGTACAGCTCCGTATCCTTGGATCTGACATTGTGGAGCTCTTTGGAATCGATCCTGTCACCGCAACGGCAGAGTCAGTTACCAAAGGTGAAGTTATATTGAAACTATTCAATGGAGATTTGGATAGATGGGAGGCTAAATGGTACAAAATCGTAGAAGACGGTAGGTTATCTTGACAACGTCTACATATTCGCCGAGCATTTCTACGTCGCTATAATCATATCGGATACAACCATTGGTAGAACGAATATATAATCAAGTCACCATTGTTCTAACGACAATATTTTAATATATAGTTAGCACCAATGTCGCTCATCGTTTTATTATCCGGTTTTACGGGACACATTTACGACTTCTTCTGCATTCCTTCGGTCTCCAGCTCTCAATCCTGAGTGGAAATATTTCCAAACAGGCACTCTGGGTTTGCTACACTAGCTCTCTAGAGATGCTCCGCTTAGTCGTTGACCGACTAGGTGTAACCTCCCATTCGTCTTACTGTCAAGACTCTGTTCATGTAATGGTTGCTTATGCCGCTGTTGTTATGATTAAGGTATTTACTATCGTCCCTAGCCTCTGTTATTTGGTTTCAGGCTCGCTGTTCCAAGTGTCAAGACTGATGATATACCCCAACATTCCGGTAAACATAAACTGACTCCTGCCATCCCCATTAATAGATTCTACTCTCTCTACCTGGAGAATTGCCTTCTGAATCCGAAAACATGATCCTGGATCTCATCAGTGAAACGAGTCGACACTTCAGCACGCAACAAGCCACAAACACCAGTTCTTATCATCAGAGCAGATTCCTGGAAAATATCGTGGTGCAGTACCGGAAGGCGAAAGAAGAAATATGCTCCTCCGCGAACCAATGGCTTAGACAGCAACAGAAGATGCTTGAGAAGTCCGAGAAAGGAGGAGTTCGTCTACCTTTCCTACCTCAGCCGCTTCGGAAAGGTTCCAGTTCTCTACAGTTGAATTCTTCACGCCCAATGATCACGTCAGTGCCTCCATCCACAGTTTCCGAAAATGTCCAGGTATATCCACGGCACTTGCAAGAACTCAACCAGAGCTCCTTCAACCAAAATGATGTTCAACCCTCCCGACTCCAAACCCGTCAAGCACGTACTTTACATCCTCAACCTGGCTCTCTTATCTGCCAGACGACCAATGCTATCACTCCCAAGCCCGCAAATAACAACGTCTTTAAAACTCTGGCACAGAATAAGCTGGACACTTTCATAGCTGCGGATGGTCAGAGTACTACTGTACCGCTCTTTACGGATGATATTGTCTGGGAGGATATGTTTGCGCATGCAGGGTTTAATATCAGTAGCGGGTCGTTTGTGCCGAAATTGGCAGAGACATGGGAGATGGGCAGATGAGCTGTGGGTGGGTGGGTACGGTTATGGATGTTGAAGACAAGCATCTATTAGCTGCTGGACAGTACATACATATATTTAGATTACTGCTGTTGAAGTTAGACCTAGAATGAACCACAAGCGAGGATAATAGCTCATCCACAATGTTTTATATCTTTAATTAAATGTTTCATTGATATGTTCAAACTTCTCCCTCTAGGTCGCCGTTGAAAGGGGTTTGCAAGATGAACCCAAGATACTCTTTAATAGCTACCGCCAGTTCTCCAAAGTCCAGCATATTATTCTCACTTGTCTTTTACTCACATAAATCCAGAAATCGGTCCCGTTCCCAACACCCCTCGTAATCCCATCTTTCTTCCCACAAGTCATACCCTCTTCTCCAAAACCTACACTCCGAAAAACCCAAAAATTGCCTACGAATATCCTCCAGAGATTATGTGATATTATTCCCCTTCGGCTTGTTTCCATTACCTAGGTCACCGTCGTCGTCCAACAATAGTGTCTGGGCGTCCTGATCGCCCATTTCCCTACCCGTCATTCTGTTCGTAATCATACTCGTACTCCCTCTGAAACGTGCAACGCACTGCAATATATTCCCGACTCAACCATCTGCCTACGACCATCCCAATATGGCAAATCCGTCGCTCCCATGCCCATCCACAGCCTCCTCGCCATCTCATACGTCGTCACTCTCACACGCGGAGTCTCAAAGATGCTCCCAACTTCGCCCGCCCTGCACACCAGACCCTGTACCACCCGCGCACGTTCACTCAGCACATCAGCAATCACCCTCTCCGACTCCTGTATGCTAAAGAGACAATGTGTGTCGTTTCAAATTCCAAAATGCAACGGCCCGCTCCCGTACACCCCCGGGAACACGTGTAGGGTCGACAGACGCTTCAGAACCAACACCAACTCCTCTGGCATGAGGGCGCTGGCAAACTGGCCCAGAACAATGCTCACAGGTGCCACTTGGAATTGCATACGGGTGCACAGACCACCGGTTGCAGCACAGGGTCAGCGTGGGAGGAATATAAATTGCCCGAAGGCTCCGCAGGCGCGGCAGAGAGGCTGCCGGAATTCGAAGTACAGTTGACCCAGAGGGAAGCTAGCTGATAGCTGCACACGATGAAGAACGTGGAGAGTGTGTGGGGCATGCTTTTATATATAGTAAATTGGATGGGTGCAGAGCGTCTATGAGGCAGAGGGTTAGAAGTGTGTTTAGATCGAGCTGGAAGAGGATGGCGATGGAGAGTTCCGTGGGTAAGGCGGGTACGGTTGGTTTCTGCTCGCTGGTAGGGTTGAGCGGGTGGGTTTAACAGGCAGTGGAAGTGGTAGTGGCAATGACGGTGACGGTGGGGGTTCCTGGAGAAGAGAATTGCCCGCGATATTTGGGTATGAGGGCAATTCCACCTTGAATCGTGCAGGTCGCAGTCGACGGTGTCCAATTTCCCAGATTCCATTTTTGATATATTTCATCGTGAATAGTTGTCGTAGATGGAAGAGAGGTGATGTTCTCATAGACAGGAGTTAACTATCAGGTCAGCTTGTCATACATGCCAATTCTGAACAGCCAATTAAGCATCCTTAATTGTCCTTTACATCGAAGACTCGGTGCTCGGTTCACCTCTGGTGCCATCTTGATGTATCTTGATGCATGTTGCCAGCTACTCAATCACATCTTAGGCGACTTTTGACCCATCACTTTGCCAGCATGTCTGTTCAAGAGTTGGTTATGCACTATTCGTATATTTATAGAGCTGGCAAATGGGTAATCATTTCCCATCAAAGATATTGTTGGATTCGATATTTGAAGAATTATGCAGTTGTTGAAGTTGGATTGGCCGTAGGATCTGGGGGTGGGTTTAGTAGGAATTATAAATAGAAGCGTCAGGTGTGGGGCCTGTGTGGCAGACGGAGTTAACTCTGGACCCTATCCGACAAGTCATTGCATGTTGACTCCGAGAAATAACAGCATGTAAAAGGGGGAGAAGACGGGAAGTAACAGGGGTTAATTAGGCGCCTTAAATTAAATGAATTAACACTATTAGCACACATAGCAGCAGGCATATGACAACAGCTAGCCGCGATAAATGAGCAGTGGTATGGGGCATTTCGGAACGGCCATTAAGTTAACTAGTTAGTAGTTAACTGACGGAACGGTTAAATATTGAGACATGAAAGTGAGTGGCAAATTTCCATCAGCCCAACCTATAGATGCTCGTCGCCTCTTTTTTCTATTTAAGGCATAAATTATTTGGGGTTAAGGTCCGAGAAGTAATCGCATTCGAACGTAAATATAAACAATTAACACCAGTCACTTTTGGACATAAGAAAAATTAAACCGTACAGAGGGATACGGCGATATGAATGTTGAGTGAGGAGACGAAAATGCGTTAAGCTTTTCCGAACACCCCCTCTTCGGTGGTAGCCTTTGCAAGTATGGCAACAGCTGATCCAGCGAAAGCTATCACACCAGAAAAGATGGAAACTTGGGTAAAACTGTGATATTGCTTGACCAGCTCGCCACTAATCGGTGGCCCTATCAGTCCTGCAAGCGCGGCAATGCTCATGCCCATACCCATGTATGTCCCAATGTTTTTCGGGTCCCTGGCACAGGTTGATAAGCAGACGGCCATGCCCGAGACGATGGCACCGGAGCAAAAGCCAAACAGAGTCGCGAAAATTATTATAGATGCGTTGGAGGTTATTTTTGGCCAGCATAATATCAGCACCCCTGACGAGACGCCGGATGCAATGACCATGTTGAAGCGTCCGAGTCGGTCTGCTAAGACGCCGGGGAGAACTCTGCCAAAGAAGGATGCTGCGTTCAACATGGAGAGAATGTATGAAGCGAGGACTTTACCCATTCCGTGCTCCACCGCGTAGCTTGGGAGAAAGAATATAGGGGAAAATACGCTAAGAGTCATGAGAAAACTAAAGGTGATAATTGCTACATATTCTGGCTGTTTGAATGCGGATCTGAGGAAGAAACTCTTCGTTCGTGGCGGTAGACGGGAACGGATAGCTGCGCACGAGGGTGCGAGAATGCCCAGGACAAGAAAGCCGCAGATGCGAACAGACCAGCCGAAACTCAGTGAAGCGCTATTAAACATCTTGCCAAGTGCAATTGGGAAGATGACTCCACCGATCGAAGATCCCGCAACCGCGATGCCCATAGCCGCTCCGCGTTTTTTGCTAAAATATTGAGGTGTTGCGGCCATTGACGGAGCCATGGTCATGCCCATAGATATACCCCCAAGAACTCCTTGGGCTAACATGATCTGGTAATATTCTTTCGAAATGCTCGTCATCATAATGGAAAAGAAGTGTAGTACAGCAGATGGCCAGATAATCTAATGAGTAATTTAGCAGTGTTTTCTGATTTTCCACATCGGACGCGTCTCCCTGTAACGTACCTTTGCTCCGTATCGGTCGAAGAGTGGGCCACCAACAAGGGAACCGGAAAACAAGAAGAAAACCTGCAATGAGCCAACCCAGGATATGGCTGACGGAGACGAGTCGCGCAGTTGATGTGACATATAGTACTCTTGGAATACGCTGGATGAAGACGTGTCAGAGACAGAACAGAGACCAATCCCAACGCCTGTTTGCTAAGAGACGCGGAAGACTTACCCATAGGCGTTGACGTATCCGAAAGTGCAGAACAGCACACCAGACGTGCCCAGTGCTACACTCCATGCCCTGGCACCTCCATCTGGGAAGGAATCCTCGAGCTTCTCATCAATATCAGCACGGTCCGTCGAGTCTCCCTGGTCAGAGCTCTGCAGACAATGCTCCTCCTTTGGGATTGGTTTGTCGTTCAGGACTTGGCCCGTCATGATTTGACGAATAAACAACCTCGGGAGGCTGCTCAAAGTTTAAGAAGAATAGAGATAGAAGCTAGAGGGGAAAGAAAAGGACAAAAAAAGAAAAGTGAGTCTCAGAAAGGGAAAAGCCCGGAATTTGACTCTTGAGCAGCAGTTAGCTCCTCCGCAAACGTGCTTTCTTTGTATTTGAGACTGATAGAGCTATTAAAGATATTGATGATTGATGATTTGAGAATATTGAAAATATTGAGGACCCTTCTGAAGGTGCTTCAGTGAAAGGGAAAAAGGATTGTCGAGGTATATATACACAAGTCGTGTTTATATATGAAGGAGAGTGTGTGTGGGGGGGAAAGAGACCGTCCCCGGGGTATTAGTTAACAACTGCGGACGTCATCCTCCTTTTTCTCTCCGCTTTCTTTCTCTCCATTCTCCGCATCCAGCTGATTCCAGCACCACCGTGCGCCATTGCCAGCAAAGTTCAGTTATAAAGCCAGCTACAAGTTACGCATCAATGCACGACATCGGGCAAGGAGTTGGTAACTCTGGCGCGTCAACACAGGCTAACATCGGGTTCGTCGGGCACAAAAACACCCGTGGGCCGACTGGACTTGAAATCTGGACTCCGGAGCAACGGGGATAACTTCAGCAGCCAGAAGAGATTCGTCCTGGGTCGTCCTGGACCGTCCAGGAGATAGCATGGAATGTGGACGCCCAAAATCTGACAAGCCTTCAGGTCAAACACATGTCTCCCGCCTCCAGAGCACGCTTGCCAGAAGAATAGTAATGAAAAATCCCAGGCGGGAAATTCCCGTTTGCTGTGGAGGAATCAAAGACACGCTGGATACTTATTATACATGGATTAGATGTCGAAACATCAACTTTGATGACACTGAATTTTCCCAAAGCGGGCCGAGAAGCAGAACCCTTGGAACAGAAAATAGGGCACGTGATAATGATAAAGTTAATTCACCGAAAACTCCGAATATCTCAGTCTTTTACCCCTGAAAAGCCCGAAGCTTTGAAATCAACCGCTGCCCGGTTCAAAAACGATGGGGGGAAGAAGAGCAGGCGGCAAGGAAGGGGGGGGGGAAAGGAAAGGAAAATATATGTTTGCTCGGAAGATGAGCTTGCTAAATGCATTTTGTGAAACTTCTGCTTGCGGTCATACTTTTTTTATACCCCGTTTTGCCTTGTGGAAGGAGTTGGTTAGTTAACTACGGAGTAACTACGGAGTACTCGTACAGAGTTGAGATTGAGGGTCGCACAGACTGTTGAAATTACAGGCTCCTAGGTGTAACTATGGGTATCACGAGCGGGAAATAGTGGAGTCTGCTACTCCTTATGCACGCCATCCTGCACCACGGAAACGCCGCCGTCCAGCGTGGCCTGTGAACAATGTCGTTGCCGGAATATTAAATGCGACCAGGATTTGCCATGCGATCAATGCCAAAGATCCAAAAGCATTCCGATACATGCCTGTACCTATGCGCCAGCTAACACGCCGTCTTCTCTTGCTTCTACCTCAAGACTGTGTGCCAGTCTACCTTCACAGAAACAACTACACCCACCGCTACCGCCGCAGCGGCAGCGGCAGCTGCCTCAACCTCGACCTCAACTGACTCCAAAGCCCACTGCATCTATCTCTCGAGGGAACCGTTATGGTAACACTCACGCATATCCCTCCCCTGGGACTGCAAATCTATCGGGCCAGAGTTCATATGCGGATGATCAGAGGAGTGATATGACTAGATCTGCTCCCAATGCTGGTCGGAACTTCGAGTCTGCGGTGACCATCCAGGCTCTGCTCGACCGCGTCCAGCTGTTGGAGAAGAAGTTGGCCGAGAGAGCACGCACGACTACAATTGATATATCTTTATCACCCGCTAGCAGGCTGTTAGCTCTTTTGGAGGTTCCTGCAGAGTCCGAACCTGCTGTGAGAGGGGTCTTCTCGAAAACGAGGTTTTTCGGTTCCAGTCATTGGATGAATTGTGCTAGAGAGGTTAGAGGACTTCCCTTTCTTCCCCATTTTCTTTTCTCCATTGCTATATATCCTTCTTTTTGTTTGAGGAATCACATAAACTTTTCACTCACTTTTATATGAATAAGCTGACCAAACCATAAGTTCCATACGGTGTATGGCTTGAGGAGGATGATACAGGGATAGCCAAAATATTAGATCGATGCAAGGTATTGGCAAGAGCTGCCAAAATTAGACGACCAATTCGCCAACGGGATCCTGTGGATTTTAAAGACCTTGTGCCAACGCGTGAGACCGCCGACCTACTTGTTCAAGGCTATCTCCGTACCTTCGAGACTGTCTATCGAATCCTGCATGTGCCCACTTTTCAGCAAGAATATCTTCAATTCTGGATCAATCCACAGTCGGCCAGGCCTACTTTTGTAGTTCGGTTGCTTCTTGTTATGGCTTTCGGCACTTGCTTTTATAAGGGTCAAGATGTCTCTATAACGCCACGGACAACCGCAGCGCCGTGGATCTATGCCGCTCAGGCCTGGCTAGGTGGCCCTTCAGAGAAGATCCGTGTCAATATCTCTTGTGTACAGATACAGTGTCTTCTTCTTTTAGCCCGGCAGACCTGTGCAATTGATGGTGACCTGGTTTGGATATTGAGTGGTTCCTTATTTCGAGCAGCAATGTACGTTGGTGTACATCGCGATCCACAACATCTCCCAAAGATGCCCAGCTTCCAAGCAGAGCTACGGAGAAGGCTATGGGCTTCCGTGCTGGAAATTGTACTGCAGTCAAGAATGGATGCGGGTGGAGCACCACTGATATGTCGTGACGATTATGATTGCGAACCTCCTTCGAGTATTGACGACCTGGACATGAATGCTGATGACCCCGCCGCCATGCCCTTCGTCATGGACGGATTCACACAAACTACAATCAAAATTGCGCTTATGAAGTCCTTCCCCGTCAGGAGCTGGCAAAAGCGATGAACGGTATACGCCACGAACTTTCGTACGATGAAGTGCTGAAACTTAACGGTGAGCTCATCACCATCTATCGTGAAAACTCGTTTTATCTCCTCAATTCAGGATATCCTTCGCAAGAGGAAACCACGCGACCAACTCCGTTTCAAATGAACTGCATTTCTGTCCTCACTAATAGGTTTATACTGGTTCTACACCACCCATTCGCTGTCAAATCAAAAAGGAACCCTCGATTCTATTTCACCCGAAAAAATCTGTCTCGACGCAGCTCTCCACATCCTTTCACCTAGCGGAGGTAGGAACACCACTAACAACAATTATTGCAATCCTAGCATCAATGAAAATCCAAACGCAAACTCCAGGAACTCCAACGATCACGATGACTTTTACCGCCTAATATCCCACTCCGGAGCCTTCGTCCGCAGCACCCTCATCTACGCGAAGTTCACCATCTGCCTCGAACTTCTATATCAGCTGCAGGGGGACGCCTCGTCGATCTTCCCTTCTTCCGTTCCTCCATTTCTTTCCTGTTCATCGTCAGCAGCGTCACGATCATGGCGAAGTGAGCTGCATGCCGCAACAGAGAATTACATGCAATTGGCCAAGGGCCGGATCCTGGTGGGCGAAACGAATATTAAGGAGTATCTGTTCGGCAGGTGTGTGATGGTG